CCTGAGCGCCTACGGAAGTGATCATAGCCGTGAAATACAAACACAGTCAGTGTTTGCCCTTTGCGTGGTCAGAGAGAACGACGCGAATGTAAGTGTTTGTCCATGAGGGGGCGTTCATGGGACCAGGGGGGCTGAGGGTCGGTGGGACTGAGGCTCCGGAGCCTGAGCCAGGGGAGCAGAACGGAAGACCCACGAGGCAGATGCTGGGAGGGGCCGGTAGCAGCCAGCAAGGAGTCGGGAGGGTGGAGCGGCTGTGGCTGTGGTTCAGAGTACGAGGAGGTCAGGGCTGTGGGGCTGGGACGTGAGCGGTGAGGCCGTGTGGAGGAGGGCATGGGAGAGGGCAGGGAACTAAAGGCTGAGTTTGAAAGGCCGCATGTTGATTGAAATCGGGGAGGATGTGTGTAGACAGGGCGCGTGAGAGAAGCCGGGAGGACCTGCGCCGTGCAGAGCTGCCTCTGCGTCGGCCCCGATGTCCCCGATGGCGCGGGGTCTTCCTGTGACTCCTGCAAACGTAGGAACACAACACCCAGGCAGGCGTAATGAAACGATGTTTTTATCAGCGAGTCTTCGCTGATGACCAATCCTCCACTGGTACTGACTCAAATACAGAATGGAGGAGATGTCTCCTGCTCCTGGCTGTCCAGAAACATCAGAAAACGGGCTCTTATGTGTGTGTTCCTCTGGGGCTCTGCACACTTTCCTCCATTTCCCAAACGTCACCTGAAGGCATTCTTACAGGAAGGGGCGTTGGCCCACGGAGGAAGCCGGGCACCCACCTCACACCCCTTCTGTTTTCCTCCCAGAGGCTCAGTGCCCTGTCCTACAAGTCCCGCGAGGAGGACCCCACGCTCACGGACGAGGAGGTGAGTGCTGTAGCTCTCTAAGGAGCGTTTGTTGGTTTTTAGAGAGAAAGGGAGAGGGAGGGAGAAAGAAAAAAGCATCGGTCTGAGTGCACCCATCACCTGCCTCCTGCACTCCCCCTTCCGGGGATGAAGCCCACAGCCCGGGCCTGTGCCGTGACCCGGAATCAAACCTCTTGGTGTCGGGATGAGCCACCCGGGCCAGGGGATGGGACGAGCAACCAGTGCACCACACGGGCCAGGGGTGTGTTACAGCTTCCGGCACCGGGAAGCCCCTGCAGTGGGACAGAGTCCCTCCTGGGTGCACCCGCGTCCTGGCCCTTGGTGTGAGTGCCGAGCGGGAGCTGGGTCCGGGTGCTGGTTAGGCAGCGGCTCAGGTGGAGGGACTGGCAGGGGGGCGGGCAGGTCCGCTGAGGAAAGGAGACCCAGTGGGAAAGAAGGGTCAGGAAAACCGGGGGCGGGGAGGAAAAGGAATCAGAGAGGAACTTAGGGACGAGAGTGGTCGGCATTCCGACGTCCCTGTGAGGAGGAAGCCATCGTGGGGTGGGAAATACAGGAAGCTGGAACGGGGTGGGGTGTGGAGGGGGATGACCAGCAGGGGGACTTAGGCGGCCGTCTAGGCTAGGGGTGTCGAACTCAATCAGAGAAGGGGCCAAAATCTAAAATCCAGCCTAAATCGCAGGCCGAATGGTTTACTGAACAGTCATAAACTGTCATTGTGATGGAAACGCAGCGGAGTGCAGTGATGACAGCGCGGTGCGGGCCACATTGCAAGGCCTGGCGGGACGGATTTGGCCCGCGGGCCTTGTGTTTGACACATGTGGTCTAGGCGGTGAGGGGGCTGCAGGCAGAGAGCAGGGCCCATCGGGGTGTGAGTTCCGGGCCGGCTGTGTCAACGGAACCGCCAACAAGGCAGCTCGCAGATTCTCGCGGCTCCGGCCGAGGAAGTGCTGGTTGAAGGTCCGAGGAACGTGAGTGGTAACTCTCCGCCGTGCGTTGTCCTGTCTCGCCTGGCTGAGAGCCGGGCGCCCTCCCCAGCCGGGCTTCAGGTGTCTGCCCTCGGACCTGGGCACCCTCCGCGGCCGGGCTGCAGGCAGCTGCCCTCGGACCCGGGCAGGGAGTCCCGCCTGCATGTGTAGGCGGTGGGGTGCGCAGGCAGTGCCTCCTCAGTGGTCTGTGTGAGGACGGGGCCGTGGCCCCTGCGGCCCAGGGACAGGAGCAGAGGCCGGCCCAGGCGATGCCGTCCACCCTCACCCTCAGTCCTCCCCAGGAGGCACCTGCCGTCTGGCCACCTGGTGGCACAAGCCACACCTGGGGTCATGCTTGATCCCTTCTCCTCATCGTCCTCAGATGCAGCCAATCGCCAAGTCCCTCCACTCCTCCTCCAAACCGTCTCCGTCCCACAGCCCCTCCTGCCCTGCCCGGCGGGGCGGTCCCCGGCCTTCCTCAGCATCGCCCACCCCATGCCAGGCCCCCCTTTGGGACAAGAGAATAGAATGTACAAGAGACTGCAGGCGAATCCTATTAAAATAAACCAAGACCGTGTGAAATTTTAAATTACTTCTGAGAACATAATCTACAGACTGAATAATGAAAATGAAAGATGTTAAAGAGAAAAATTGCAAAGCTAGATACATTTTAAAGAGAAAAAAAATCAAAGCTAAGGCCTCGAAGAGAAGCCTGTATGCAAAATAGAAACCATAGTCACAGAAGACAGATATTCAAGAGGAACGTTAGGAGACGTGAGAAACTCCGTAAGGAAGTTCACAGTGACACAGGGCACGCTCTGCTCGCGTCCAGGATGATCCTGGGTTGCACGTCGGTGGAGGAGCCTGGGATTGGCTGGGAGAGTTTCCTCCCGGGAAGGCCCTGGAGGAGAGGAGCAGGCTGGAGGGGAGGGGCCAGTGCCGCCTTCACGGCGCAGGTGACCTGTGCCCTGCTGTGTGACCCCTGAGGGTGAAGGTGAGCCTGGCTGGTCCCCATCACCGGCGACTTAGCCCTCCATAACCTGTCCACATCCCGGCTGGGACTGCTTTCTGGATGTAAAGTTCCATCTGTTCGCAGTCACTATGAAAAGCAGACAACTTATTCATTCTTCCTAAATTCAAAGAAATCGTGTCTTCATTCTGAGAGTCATTTTTCCGTTAGAACCTCTAAGGTGAGAATGTTCGGTGAACAGTCGTCAGAATAGTCAGACCACCCAAGATTGTTCCTGGCCTAGACCTTCGGGTCATCCAGGCCTGTGGGACTGTCCTCGGCAGATGACAGGCAGGACGTGGCCGTCCTGGGGGCCCTCGGCCAGCAGAGACCCCTCCCCCCTCCCCCACCCTGTCCCCACGGGGCCCTGTGGAGATGGCAGAGCCTTGGCCTGCAGGCCGAGTCCGTCAGGAATCAGGAAGCATGTTCCTTATTCCTGGGCGTTTGGGTAAATCAGTCACGGGGCCCAGGAAGGATATGTTTACTTATTTCCAACCACAATTTCTAACAATAAAATAATAGCCATCTACTCTTCCATCACCAATACAGACCGAGTTGCTCTCTCTGTTGGAGCCTCTGTGGGTGCGTTAGGGACACTGAGTAGCTGGGAAGACAGCCCTCCTCACTTTCTAGGAAAGAGTTCCCATCACTGATTACCTCCAACTCCGCTTCTCGGTGAGCTGGTTGGAAATGAGAATGACTTTCTCACTGAAGTCTCTGTGAGTGTTTGTTTAACCAGCAGCATGTGGTGAAACCAAAAGGAATGGCCGGACTCTTACAAACACGTGTGTGCGCTGCCCAGCAGAGCCCAGGACCCGACTCCGGCCGCGCTGTGCAGGGCAGTGAGCCAGGCCCATGTCCTGGCTCTCACACCCAGCGGGCGACAGGCCAGCCAGCCCCAGTCTCTGCCTCCGTGGTTCTGGGGGCAGAAGCTGCCTTTCTTGTAAATGTCTGGATCCTGCAGCTGCTGGTTCAGTGCCCACAGAGTGAGACTCCCTCGTCTCATGCATGCCTCCTGCCTTTTTTATAAAGCAGTAGAGTCCCTTTTCAGCTGAGAAAGCCTTCCGATGTAGAAAGACTGTCCCTCCAGGGGCTTCGGGCTGCCCACACCCTCTCCTGCCTGCCACAGACCAAGAGAGCTGGATCTTCATGGGCTCATGCCCACACGGCTGGTCTGCCTGAAGATAGTCTGGGTAATTGTTCTCTAGCAATGCATGGCAGACACTGAGGAAACCACTGCTGGGCCTTTGTCTGAAGGAAGTAAAATCACTGTGTCAGGAGGCACTTGCCCCCATATGACCTGCAGCATTGGTCACACAGCCAAGACCTGGGAGCAACCTCAATGTCCATCTACAGACAAATGGACAAGAAATGTGATTTCATATACATGTCAAGTGTCCAAGCGGAATATTCAAGTAGGCATACACAGTGGATATTATCTACACTAATAAAAGAGAAATATGCAAATTGACCGTATCTCTTCAAATCCCACCAGCCAATCAGGAGTGGGTATGCAAATTAAGATGGTGAGTTCATTTGCGTACACAGGTGTGGAGCACCAGGCAGAGCAGGACGCCTACTATGAGGGGGAGGGGAGCGAGCAGAGGGAGCTACAGGAACGTTGCTCCGGCTGGGAGCAAAGACTCCAGGCTCCCGAGCTTCCAGAGGCGAAGCCTTGCAGGCTCCCCGGTGGCCGGGAGCAAAGCCAGGGGAAGGAAGGCCTCTTCCTGCATGAATCTTCAAGCAACAGGCCTCTAGTTCAACCATAAAAGAAGGAAGTCCTGCCAACTGTGACCTTAAGGGCATCTGCCAACTGAAGTTACCAGACAGGGAAAGGCAGATATTTTATGTTCTCAAACACATGTGGCACCTAAGAAAGCCGACCTCATAGAAATAAAGTGGGCTGGTGCTGGCCAGGGGCTGGAGAGATGGGCAGTGGGGAGATATTGGTCAAAGGCTACACACTTCCAACTGACTGCAAGAGGAACAAGCGCTGGGAGGCGGTGCCCAGCACGGACGCTGTGTGTGTCCTCCTGTGTGTTCTGTGCTCAGAACTGATCCGAGAATAGAGCTTACATGTGACCGCCACACCCAGAACATGGTGACAGGTAATGGAGGTATTCCCTAACCTGATTGTGGCAATCATTTCACAGCACAGATGTGTATCAGATTGTCGGGTCGTATCCCTTAACCAGACACACGTTGTATGTCGGTTGCATCTCACTGAGCTAGGATTCGGAATCTGACCCGGGCTCTCCACAGGGGTTCTTAAAGGGACACACACACCGGGTGCTCAGTCTCCAGTTTGTCACTGAAGCGGCGAGGGGCGGTCCGGCTTGCAGGGTTTCCGTTTGACTGTCCTGGTCCTCTGTCTTCTAGATCTCGGCCATGTACTCCTCCGTCAATAAACCGGGGCAGTCGCTCAGAGCGCCCGAGTCCGGCGGCACCTGCAGCCCCGGAGCCGCCCGGAGGTCCCCGTCCTGCAACGACCTCTACGCGACCGTCAAAGACTTCGAGCAGCCGCCCGGCGGCGCGGCCACCCTGGGCCCGGCAGCCAGGCCCCGGGAGCCCGAGCCCGACTACGAGGCCATCCAGGCTCTGAGCAGAGAGGACGAGAAGGCCCCCCCGGAGTCCCGCGGCCTGCCCGGCCCCGTCCCGAAGGAGAGCGACTACGAGAGCATCGGGGACTTGCAGCAGTGCCGGGGGGACGTCACCAGGCTCTAGCCGCCCGGGCGGGGGCCGGGACAGGGCACCAGGCTGTCCCCTCCGGGGGGACGTCCGTCACCAGGCTCTAGCTGCCCGGGCGGGGGCCGGGACAGGGCACCAGGCTGTCCCCTCGGGGGGACGATACCAGGCTCTAGCTGCCCGGGCGGGGGCCGGGACAGGGCACCAGGCTGTCCCCTCGGGGGGACGTCCGTCACCAGGCCCTAGCCCTCCGGGCGGGGGCCGGGACAGGGCACCAGGCTGTCCCCTCGGGGGGACGTCCGTCACCAGGCCCTAGCCCTCCGGGCGGGGGCCGGGACAGGGCACCAGGCTGTCCCCTCCGGGGGATGTCACCAGGCCCTAGCCCTCCGGGCGGGGGCCGGGACAGGGCACCAGGCTGTCCCCTCGGGGGCCGTCACCAGGCCCTAGCCCTCCGGGCGGGGACCGGGACAGGGCACCAGGCTGTCCCCTCGGGGGGATGTCACCAGGCCCTAGCCCTCCGGGCGGGGGCCGGGACAGGGCACCAGGCTGTCCCCTCGGGGGCCGTCACCAGGCCCTAGCCCTCCGGGCGGGGACCGGGACAGGGCACCAGGCTGTCCCCTCCGGGGGCCGTCACCAGGCCCTAGCCCTCCGGCGGGGGCCGGGACAGGGCACCAGGCTGTCTCCTCCGGGGGGACGTCCGTCACCAGGCTCTAGCTGCCCGGGCGGGGACCGGGACAGGGCACCAGGCTGTCCCCTCCGGGGGGACGTCCGTCACCAGGCCCTAGCCCTCCGGGCGGGGACCGGGACAGGGCACCAGGCTGTCCCCTCGGGGGCCGTCACCAGGCCCTAGCCCTCCGGGCGGGGACCGGGACAGGAGACCAGGCTGTCCCCTCCGGGGGGACGTCCGTCACCAGGCCCTAGCCCTCCGGGCGGGGACCGGGACAGGGCACCAGGCTGTCCCCTCCGGGGGGACGTCCGTCACCAGGCCCTAGCCCTCCGGGCGGGGGCCGGGACAGGGCACCAGGCTGTCCCCTCGGGGGGACGTCACCAGGCCCTAGCCCTCCGGGCGGGGACCGGGACAGGGCACCAGGCTGTCCCCTCCGGGGGGCATCACCAGGCCCTAGCCCTCCGGGCGGGGACCGGGACAGGGCACCAGGCTGTCCCCTCCGGGGGGACGTCCATCACCAGGCCCTAGCCCTCCGGCGGGGGCCGGGACAGGGCACCAGGCTGTCTCTTCCGGGGGGCATCACCAGGCCCTAGCCCTCCGGGCGGGGGCCAGGACAGGAGACCAGGCTGTCCCCTCGGGGGGACGTCCGTCACCAGGCCCTAGCCCTCCGGGTGGGGGCCGGGACAGGGCACCAGGCTGTCCCCTCGGGGGGATGTCACCAGGCCCTAGCCCTCCGGGCGGGGACCGGGACAGGACACCAGGCTGTCCCCTCCGCCGCACAGGCTGCTGCCCTGGCCGAGGGCGGCGAAGACTCCAGAACGGAACAGGAGGGCACAGGCCTGCTGCGCCCTGTGCACCCGCCTGGCTGGCTCGGCCACACCCAGCACAAGTCCCCGTCCCCGCACCCTGGCCGGGCCCCAGCATCCGGGATACGCCGTTCGGAAGAACCAGGTTCCCTTCTCCTCTTGTGGCATTTGCTGGAGTCCCTGTGAGATCTCCCCCTTTCTGCTGGCTCCTTCCAAGGAAATGGGCCACAGGGTCGGCCTTGGCCGTCCACGCAGGAGTTTTCAGATCCGTGTCGCCGCTCAGACCATCACCCAGCATCCTCTGGGGACGCCCTCGAGGGTCTCAGGTCTCCGTGCCTTCTGGCCCGGGCACGCCACGTCAGCAGCTGCTCCCAAAGGACGTGAAGTCACTTTTAGATGCTTTATTTTATTTTTCTAGCCAAATGTCTCCCCCTCACCTCCCACCCCCAGTGTTTGAAGCTTCAGAACCTTTGCAGTATTTGCGGTGAACGCTGTGGTACCTCCATGCTTGCTGGAGCCGGGAGCCCCTTCCTCGGCACACACAGCCGGAGGCCGTGACGCCGCCGGGCAGGGCCGTGGACCTGGCCGTGGGCCTCTGAGGATCCGAGCGGCCACACCAGCTGCCTCGGGCCCTCACGTGCACGGCCACCCGAAGGTAATCTAGCTGAGATTAAAATGGAAACGTTTATTTTTGTTATCTAGATGTATAAGATGTTTTATGTTTAATGCCTAATTTCTAGAAAGCGTCAGGAAAAAAAATGTATATTAACTATTTTGATTTTACGTACAATGATTTATACCCTCATTTTGAAAGATCACCACAAAGCACATAAGCTAGGACCTTCCTGTCATCGTTATCGTTTTTTCTAACTAAGTATTTAAAACAGTGAATGTTTTTAAAGACTCAGACTTTTCAAATGGTACTTGGAGCCCTTGGTCAAAATCATCTAGCTCTCGCAGAAATCAGGAATATCCATAAACGGTCATTTTCAGTGGCTTGGGAAATATGTGAAAATTGAGATGGTGAAACGGGGAAGAAGCACGAAGCCTAACTGAGGGTGGCGGCCCCGGGGAAGGCAGCGTGGGGAGCTGTCCCCGGGGAGCGGGGTCTGTCCGATTCTCTCCCCTTCACCATACAAAGCTCGGTGTTTGAGTGACTCAGGTCAGAGCCTGGTTTGAACGTAACCATCTCTGTAGAGGTTATGAGGCCAACGGTGGGACCTGCTCCCTTTTCGTCCTAAAAGGGGCCCCGCTGACGTACAGGCGGGCCGGGCACCACGATGGGGTGGCCGTCCCGCGGCCGCTGGCACCGGAAGGGCTTGTCATGGTGTGTCGTCCCTGCTCACCCCTCACAGCTCAGCACTTCATCAGTCCCGTCACTTTCACTGGACTTGTTGCAAAATCTGTGCTACCGTCTTTGAATTGGACAGAAGCAGGACTTCTTCCAGAAGGGTTTTCATATTTACAGTTTAAATGTATGAAAGGTGATCCTCAAAAAAGTTTTGCTATATCTTTAAAATTCAACTTTGGCATCCTTATGAGGCATTGCATTACAATAATTTGGGTTATATAAAATTATACAAAATGATAAGAATAATCTTTAGGAAAACCTTATCATCTCCTAAATCAGAATTATAAACTTACCTTGCCTAAAAATAGGATCTTTGTTTTTGTTCAGATATTTGTTACATTTAAAAGAATGTTTCGGCTGCTTTGACTGTTTCTCAGATGCAGTGAGCAGGAAGTGTCGCCTGTTTGGTGTGAAACGTTTGGGTCCACGTTGTAGGTGTGTCCACATGCGTGTCCCCTGCCCGCCCCACCTCACACACTTCTAGCACACTCTGGAAGCTGCTGCTCTCCTTCGGGGGAAAAGCAAATTACTGTCTTGTTTGCTCTCAAAATCCAAGAGTTTATTTGACTTAAGAGCTAGTTAGCAACAGGTAGTCAACACAAAGAAATAATATACAACCTCTGTTTCTCATAGTGGATTTTCATTTTCTTAATTGGAGCATTTACTAACTTTAACCAGTAACAAACCATATATATATATATGTGATATATATCTATATCTATATATATATGAGACATATATCTACATCTATATATCTACATATGGATGTAGATATATGTCTCATATATATGTTCTGGTGCTTAATTAATTAGGATACATCCTATTGTCCTATTGAGTGTTTTGAATGTTTATTTTACTATTGTGAAGACTATCATCAAAGCAGGACAGAAACAATTCTCCAGTAGCTTTCACTTGCTAATAGTAGGAAAACCTTCTCAAGTTGCCCTCATTTAATTTTTCTAATTGTTAAATTCAGATTTTAAGTCAGGTCCACAGTTCCTTCAGCTGCACAGCAGTGGTCCTATAAGTAGCGTCATTGTCCATGTGACTCGGGGTGGAGGAGAGATTTGGCCCAAAGCCCAGGAACAGGATGGGCACGGCAAGGAAACCGTAGGCCGCAGGGCAGAGCCTCTCCGTGAGGCCATTTCCTGCTCTTTCTTCAGAAACCAGAGTCCGCAGGCGCAGTGCATGAGCCTGGGAGGCGAGGCGACTGCTCTGAGCTGCTGGCCGGGCTGGAACCCAGCTTCGGTGCAAACTGCACCAGGACTTTGTAAAGGAGTCGACGACAGCTTTTGGTGCCTCCTGTGTTAACGTGACTCTGCAGGACCGGGGACGCCAGGCCTGATGGTGCCCGGCAGCTTGAGCGGGAAGCCGTGGGCACGATGGTAACCTCCCGGAAGTCCCGGCAAGCACACCGTGCTGTGTGATCGGCAGCGCTAACGTGTCACCTGTGCTGTTGATGAGCGATCGGTGTGACAATGGGAACCTGTGTCTGATGTCACGTGCGGCTTCATGCACAGCGGCATGGACCTTCCTAGGCCTGTGGCAGCCTTTCCCTCTCTGTTGTACCTTCTCCTCCCTCGGCTGTTTCTGGCCGAGGCATTGGGCAGGTGTTCACACTTAGCGTTTGACCAAGAGATCGGTCCAGAAACCAAGACAATTGGAGTCTCCATCCGGAATTAGCAAAGGAAACTAAATGAAATCATGGCCCCAGAGCGAACAGATCACTGCTCTCTGTCTACATCCCACCTCTATATTTATAAAGGACTTCCTTGGTTTTCCAGGCTTTTCTTTCATTATCCAGGAAATGGTAGTTCAGACTCCTCTTCATGCCAGATGAAATGACAAATGCAATTTTTTTAAAAAGTATATTTTTATTGATTTTTTTTACAGAGAGGAAGGGAGAGGGACAGAGTTAGAAACATCGATGAGAAACATCGATCAGCTGCCTCCTGCACACTCCCCACTGGGGATTTGCCCACAACCAAGGTACATGCCCTTGACCGGAATTGAACCCGGGACCCTTCAGTTTGCAGGCTGATCTCTATCCACTGAGCCAAACCGGTCAGGGCGACAAATGCAATTTTTATTAAAAAGGCATTTTTTTCAAATCTTTTAACTTGGTGATCATTTATCTTAATGATTTAGATTACTCCCCCCCCCCCACACACACACACACACTCACCATTTATATATACATGGCTATTTTTTATTTTTATTTTTTTATGTATTGGGCTCTGCGTCTCTCGGATCACCTTGTGTACTGGATTATAAAGGCTGGTAATTGTTATTCCTAAGACTTCTGTATGTTAAAATGACACCAGTAAATTCTTGATGTTACCTTTTAAATAATTGTGTTGAATTGATATGCCTCATATGTTCAGGAGAAGTTTGAAATATAGCTAAACAAATAGGAATTTGCATTTCACTGTTCAGGCATTTTTTTTTTCTCATAAAAATAGCTTCCCAAAAAATGACTTCCTGTCTGTGAGGTGGTCCCGATGGGTTTCATAGTCCTCCTCTTACTCCACAGGTGTCTGCCGTGGTCACATTGTTCAGTTCACAAATGGGTGCGGAAGCCATTTTCAATACTGGGAATTTTTTAACATAGCTTTAATTAAAAAAATACCTAGGATGGCTTCCACAGCTTGTAATGTTTCTGGTCCTGGCCGGTTTAAAAGGTGACCAGATCGTCCCTCTTTCGGCGGGACAGTCCCGATTTCTAACAATTTTTCCCGCGTCCCGCGGCGTTTTAAAAAAGGCCCGATTTTTGGAAAGATCGGAAAGATTCTTAAAACGCCACGGGACGCGGGGAAAATTGTTAGAAATCGGGACTGTCCCGCCCAAAGCGGGACGATCTGGTCACCGTATTAGAGAGGGCGGGCAGGAAAGCACTGTTCTTCCCATCTCCCGGCTCCTCCTGCACAAGTGACCTTCTGTTACTCTGCACAACACGACCTGAGCCTCTTCCCACCCCTCTCAGTCCCCGGCTGCTGGAAGGACGCCCTATCGCACCCATCTTCTCCAACATCAACCACGGCCCCTGCCTCCCCATAGCGCCCCTCCCAGGTGAGCAGACAGCCTCCCTCCCCCAGCTCAGCTCCCGCCCCCAGGCTGCCGGTAACGCCCAGAAGCACCCGGGGAAGCAGGTGCTGGTGGTCTTGCTTGCCCGCGTCTCATAAGCATCTCTCATAAGCACTGAGGGGCCACGGAGAGGAACTTTGCAGTTCTGTTGTGAACTTGAACTTGCAAATGCAGACACAAGCTCCCCTGACCGTGCTCTCCTGGTGAGCCCGGCCCCCACAATGCCCTGGGACAGCCCTGTCTTCCAGGGTCCCCGTGAAGGTCGAGCTCTGTGGTGGACCAGTAGGTTCCTGAAGGTAGGACGCTGGCTATTTTAAGGGGGAAAACCCTCTTGTGAGAGTAATTATTTATAAAAACAAACGGAGTGTACCCTGTGCGTTTTGTCCCTTGTACCCTGTTTGAGCTCCCCTCCGGTCCCAGCATCACACCGGAGTTCCCGACCATGTCCAGGCGAACTGGCATTGCCGGCTCAGGCCACGCCTGGTGAATGGTGCCACAGGCTGAGGGCCTGGACACCTCAGACCCACCACCTGTGCTTTGGATGGTTTTGTTCAGTGTTGAGTTTTCGAAGTTCACTCTAAGTGAACTTAACACTGTAGTTAGTTATCCAAATGGATAACAAGGAGTGCAATTTCCCCCACGTTAACAGAACAGATAGCTGCTCGTTCCCGTGTATATTTACCTTTAAAAGCCGCCATTCTACCAGTGCAGCACCCTGAATAGGACAAGGTGAGACCAGACCAGCCTGGCCCCGGGGTCTGCACTCCCACTGCCCGGTCACAATGTCTGCTTTGGTTTGTTCTTGTTTTGTGTGTGTGTGTGTTTTAGTTTTATTTTATTGTTTAAAATATTACAAGTAGTAGTACATATATCTCCTTTTTTCCCTATTGACCTTCCCCCAGCCTCTCCTACCCCCTGTCACATGCCCTCATCCCCACCCCCCACCCCAGTGTCTGTGTCCATTGGCCGTGCTTATATGCATGCACGCAAGTCCTTCAGTTGGTTGTTGATTTTTAACTCAACCAGTTAGAAACCGTGAGTTTAAAACAAACTCTTTTCTCTTTCTTGAGGTCAAAGAGCATTTTTTTTTTTTTTAACTTCAGGTCCTCCCAGAGGTGGGGAGGCTGACGCAGGCGGAGTCTGCCTGAGAGGGGGCATTCCTGGACGAGTCTGTGTGCGTGGATGCATGCCGCATGGCAGGCCCCCGCAGCTCCTCCCATTTCAGCCCCTGCTTGCACACGCTCCTCGCTGCTCCCGTAGCGCCCGGGCCCTGGTGGGGCTGCCGCGGGGCTTGTCCTCGGGGAGGAGCCAGGAAAAGGGCAGGAAAGCCCAGCTTGAGCATCAAGTCTGTCTGCCTCGGACTTTGACACTTTTTTCTAAATTTTTTTTTTTTTCTGAGTCGCAACCACATACTTGCTTCTGGAAGTGGGCAGGGCAAGGGTCAGAAGTAAAAACGGAACTAAGTGATATGGCCAAAGCTGCCTGGCCCCCATTCCCTTGGTGTTTCTGTATCTAGAAAACGCATTATCCTAACCCCTGTCCACCACGGGGTCCCTTACAGCGGGAGCCATAACAGGCAGAGAGGAGAGGCAGCTCAAAGACTTCCTTCTTGTGTCGGTATTTTCTTCTTTATCAACTCAGGAGTCAGCCTGGCTTGTGGGTAGCATAATGTGGCTAATTAAAGTGTAATGCATAGGTCACTGGACACATTATTTCAGCGGTTCCCTTTAAGGGCCTCTATTTTAGCTGAAACCCCTCCTAACGGGAAAACTAACCTCACAAAAGACTTCCACAAACTCTTTCTAGAAGAGTGTACACCAGTCAACGTCTACCCCCAGAGGATATGTTTCTTGTCCATGGTATTTCAACAATTTTTATGGGAGAAAAAATGCACATCTTTTATTTCCTGGAAAAGTGGATCGGGGTGTTGCATTAAATTCTCAGAGGGGATCATTGAAGGGAAGCATTGGCTTTGGAGACGAGCTCTTGGCTCTATGGTTCCTGTTCCAGCATCGACTTTACTGTGTGACCTTGAACAAATGAATTAACTTCTCTGTGCCTCCGTGTCTCCGTGTGCAAAATGGAGATAATGACACCAACCACTGCCTACCTCATAGGGACATAATGGGGACATGGGATCATCTGGAGGAACACCAGTGTTTTGCACTCTGGAAGAAGGTGCTACAGGAATTGTCGCTGTATTGTTTTTACTGACCCGAGTATTATGTTTAGGGCTTAAACAATAGCAATACTGTTCGTCCCGATGGGCGTGAGTGTCAATGCCATGCGTATTCACAGCTCTCTTCTCGGCCAGGCCTGGCCATCCAGCCAATCACGGTACCTGAGGACTGAGTGTTGTTTGTGTCCTGTGTTTCTATCCATAGTGTTTTCCTCTGAGTGTTCCCCAGGGGCTGGGGGTAACTCCTAATATCTTATTGTTTACATGTACTGGACCTGATGCGAGCTGTGTATAAAGAATAATCACAGGTAAATAGCAGGTACATTGTAATTAAGGCACTTATCCAATTGTCTTCATTCTTTTTGTTTCAATAAAGGTCCGTTTTATATGGTATAAAAAGCTTGTTAAAATTCATTTGGCCTTTGAGAAGAACCAGAGTGGCTCACCTAGCCCAGCCAGCGTGGCTCAGTGGTTGAGCCACGACCTGTGAACCAGGAGGTCCTGGTTCGATTCCCAGTCAGGGCTTGATTCCCAGCGTGGGGTGTGCCGGAGGCAGCCAATCAATGATTCTCTCTCATCATTGATGTTTCTCTCTCCCTCCCTTTCCCTTCTTCTCTGAAATCAATAAAAATACATAATTTGAAATGGCTCATTCATATGCCCGTAGTGTATAACCCAGTCTGGAATTTCAGCCACCATGCCGGGAGGATGTCCGGGGGCTGGGGCCGGGCCGGCGTGCTGGCGGGCTCCCACACTGAGCAGAAGGCCAGCCCCGGAGCCGGAGGCGGCTGTGGGCTGCCCTTGCTGTGTCCACACAGGACGTGAGGAGTCATCGTGCAGACCCCACTGCGCCTCCTCGGACCGCCAGGCCACGGCACCTTAGCCTCAAGCCCCACTCCCTCTCCCACCGTGTGGCCAGTTTCCACACGAGCGTTCCCAGGCGGATGGTCCCAGCTCCACGCTGTGTTCAAGGCTCAGAGATGTGAGTTGGGTTTGGCGGGCCTGATCCGTTGGGTTCTGGTGCATTCTCTCTTTCCACGGGCTGCCAATCAGGAGAAGGAGCGGTGAACTCTGCAATTACACTAAACTGGAAAATGGTGTTTCCATGGAAACACAACTCAACTGCCGAGAGCCAGATCGGGGGCTCCTTGGATGTGGAGGGTCGCCCCAAAGTGCAGCATCTCGCCCACTGACCTGGCTCCCTTGGCCCGCCTGTGGGCGAGGGAGGTGCACTGTGGTCAGCCTCACATGGCGTGGTGGGAGCAGGAGCTGGCCGGAAGGAGGAAGGCCAGAGGGGCCAGGAGCTGGCCGGAAGGAGGAAGGCCAGAATGAAACGGATCGGGCCAGCAAAACCAGCTCACATCTTTTACATAGAGATAAAAATAACTTTTCTCACTAAAAATATATGCGTTACTCTCTCTTACTCATCCTCGTTCATTACTGGGGAGCTTTTAAAAATGAAATCTTTCCGGTTCTGAACTCTTTGTTGTCCATCGCAATCACTGTTAGTGTTTTGTGTTGTTTTTCTAAATGGTTTTTAATCCCTGGATGCCCCTCACTTCTTTCCTTTCCTAACTGCTTGGACCCTGTGACTTCCTCGTGCTGCCCACCTACATCTGTGACAGATATTTCTGTCCCTTGGCACCCGGGGTCCCGCTGCGCCCTGGGCCGCAGCAGCCAGGGCATCCCGGGCCTCACGTGCTTCCTAAGCCACGTGTCCCCGCACACGTGGGGGCTCCGCTGAAGCCAGGCCTGCTGGAGTTCACACAGATGCCTCTGCCTCTGCCTCTTGTTCTTTAAACCTTTGAGTAAGACACACACGCACATGAGCACACGTGCGCACACAAAGGTACACACAGCCCTTGCGCCTAAGCGACACGGGGAGATGCAGGGTCCCAGGCCACCCTTGGGGGCCAGGCTCCACATGGAGCACACCCGTGAGCGGTCAGAAAGGAGGCCCCAGGATGGACAGAAGGCGCCTGGGAGACACGCCGGCTCCCCGGCCCCTTCACATCTCTGGCCTGGCCCGACAAACAACCTCTGTCTGTCAGGTTTCTTGAACTCAGAAACTGCCCAGCGCCTGGCCAAGGAATAGCTAGATCCTGAGCTGAGCCCTCTCGCCAAGAGCAGGAGGAATCAGGCGAGGAACCTGCCCATGTTCTGTCCCTGGAGCACCTCCAGAGGCCAGGACCCGCCCACTGGGCGGATGGAAGCCAGCAAGACTGTTCCCCTGTCAGACCTGCTGCTGGGCGGGCAGCTGGGGGAGGACCTGGGGGGGGCAGCGTGGGGAGGACCTGGGGGGGGCAGCACGGGGAGGACCTGGGGGGCAGCGTGGGGAGGATGTGGGGGGCAGCGCGGGGAGGACCTGGGGGGGGCAGCACGGGGAGGACCTGGGGGGCAGCGTGGGGAGGATCTGGGGGGCAGAGCGGGGAGGACCTGGGGGGCAGCGCAGGGAGGACCTGGGGGGCAGCGCGGGGAGGACCTGGGGGGGGCAACGCGGGGAGGATCTGGGGGGGCAGCGCGGAGAGGATCTGGGGGGGCAGCACGGGGAGGATGGGGGGGCAGCGTGGAGAGGATCTGGGGGGTCAGCACGGGGAGGATGGGGGGGGCAGCGCGGAGAGGATCTGGGGGGCAGCGCGGGGAGGATCTGGGGGGCAGCGCGGAGAGGACCTGGGGGGGCAGCGCGGGGAGGATCTGGGGGCGGCAGCGCGGGGAGGACCTGGGGGGCAGCGGGGGGAGGACCTGGGGGGCAGCGCGGAGAGGACCTGGGGGGCAGCGCGGGGAGGACCTGGGGGGCAGCGGGGGGAGGACCTGGGGGGCAGCGCGGATAGGATCTGGGGGGGCAGCACGGGGACGATCTGGGGGGGGCAGCGCGGGGAGGACCTGGGGGGGCAGCGCGGGGAGGACCTGGGGGGCAGCGCGGGGAGGATCTGGGGGGCAGCGCGGGAAGGAACCTGCCGGGGAGCTATGTGCCCCTCCCCCCTGCCCCCCCCTCCTGGGCCAGGAGCAGGTTTGCTGGGGTAAAGACTTCTCCGCTGTCCGCTCTAGCCTGGGCTGTGAACCGGAGAGGAGCTCTCAGCCGGGTTGCTCCGCTGGATCCGGTCCCTCAGAGTTCATGCTGGAGGGAGAGGGAGGCTGGGTCATTGCATCTTCCTTCCACGTGTACAATGGGGTGTTCCTGAGGCCGCCAGGCCGCCCCTGACACCCAGGACTTGTTTGTTTTCCACTGGGAGGTGGGCCTTTGACCCCTTCGCCCGTTCCTAGTTCCGAGGGCTTTCACGTCCGCACTGTCGTCTCCTCTGGTCTCACCTCCCCGTTCTGAGTGCAGCTGCTGAGAGCAGCCTGGCCTGACGTGCACCCTCGTCTTCATCGTCAGGCGTCTAGTTCAGACCCCAACAGCCCGTCTTCCCACCCAGAGAGCCTGTCCCAGGCGGAGTCCCAGCCCCTGCAGCACATCCACTGGATTGCCACCCGCCCGCCTGTCCCCTGCTCCTCGCCTGCTCCAGCCCGTGCTGGCTCCTCACTGCCGCCCCAGGCCCTCTCGGTCCCACCCTCTTTCCATTTCTCCAGCCTTCCCTCTTCCCATCTCCCAGGTTTGCCTGAACTCTTGGGGAACCCCGCTGGGTTCTCATTCATTCTCCGGAAGGGGTGGGCGAAGGCCCCGGAGGGAGGGAGCTGGACAGGGTCACCCACACAGCGGGACCCCACAGCCACAGGTTAGAACCCCACACCTGCCCAGATTGCAGGCCCCCTGAGGCCTCGGGAGCCCCAGCACATCTGCCTGGGCCCCCCCACAGGGATGCTGCCGGCAAGCTCTGAGCATCAGGCCTGGGCAGGGGCAGGGAGCAAAGCAGCCTGGGTCCCAGGGCCTGGAGCAGCCGGACCTCACTCCCCCGGCCCCCTGCTCTGTCTGGGCCTGAGAATGACCGCCCTCTCCTGCCCAGGATGCCTGATCCCCACAGCCAGCCTAGCGGGCAGGAGGACTGAGGGGTGTCTGAGAACGGGAACATTCTCTCTGAGCATTCAAACCTGTAAGGAATGTTTGTGAGTTTATTTGAGCCAATCTGTCCACAACTGCTGGGAAGCAGAACCTCGGTGGATTGGGATGATGCCCCGGAGAATGGCAGGTTACATCTGTGTTTATACATTGCCATCAAAGGAGGGACGTAGGTGGGTTACGTGAAATCCATTGAGGATAGACTAGAGAGGCGGGAGAAAGCAAAGCAGGGAAACCCCTGGGACTGGATAAAAAGTAAAACGATAGACAGGTGGGTACAGGAACAACAAACATGATAATGAAGGAATTGGTGGTCTCTGTCCTGGCGCCCAGGCACAGTAGGTTGTGTCCCAAGGGGTCCAGAGAAAGGGAAGTTACAAGTTACCCGGACATTTCAAGGGTGTGTTATCATAGATGCATAGTTAAGGTAAAGGCTGACCTTGTCTGGGAAGATACAGGCCTATAACATAAGCACCCACCGTAACTGCGTTTAGTTAAAGTTTAGTGTCAGACCTTCCAGAGCTTGTCAGGCTAGCCCGTGGCCCTCTGTCCACACTGACGCTGGTTACTTCACGGCGCAGGGTGCACAGCTGTGTGTGGAGGAAATCATCAGCTTTCTTCTTCCCACAAATCCGAACAGCACCTGACCTCAGGGTGGTCCGTGGAGACCAGGCCGCTGCTGAGAGCCGAGCTGCTAGGAAGCTTCTCTTGCCCTGTCATTAGGGTGCACAAGTCTGCACATCAGTACCCATCCCCTCACATCCCTGCCACCCCTCCCAAGCCCTCAGTGCCAGGCCTCAAAGCTGATGAATATTCTATTAAGCCCCTCCCCTGAGATCTCCCGGAAGATTTCCACCTGCAGAGAGAGAAGCAGGCTCAGGATGAAGGACCCAGCTCCACAGGGAGCACACCCACACCGTTCCCCTCCCCCTTCCTCCCTCTAAGGGACTCCCTGAGGCTTGCAACCAGGGGAGCAGTGGGCCTCGGCAGCTCGTCCCAGGCTCACCCCTGACCCTGTCTCCACGGCCCCCCTTTCTCTGCCTTCCCAGGGAGTCAGAGCAGCCCGGCCTGGCAATCTCGTTGCGCCTTCTATGCTGAGACCTTCCGTGTTTCCCTGTCCTGTGTGTGTTTTTGCTGCGGCCAATAAACTCTTATTTTGCTACACTTGGTCTCTTGGTTGAGATCTTTCCTTCAAGAAGACAAGAGCTGAGGTCTCGTCACCTCGCTGGCAACAGTACCATGGCTGCTTACAAAATATTGTAAACCCTCAAGAGACATAAGCAAGAGGAAAAAGAAACACTGAAATATTAAAAACAGAAAGAAGCTTAAAAATAGCAAATTACTCAACCCAACTGCTTGCCTATATTCAGGCTTCTAAGTAATGAGTGAAGGAGGCATTTAGAATCAGACAATTGAAAGAAAAGAGTTGCAGACGATGATAAAATGACTAAACACATAACACATTCAAAGGAAGAACACACAAAAAACCATGTCATTTAGGAATAGCTGGGTGTCTGCTGTCGCGAACATCTTTGAGATCGGCGAAGCAGAGGGACTCGGAGAGACAGTGGGGCGAAACCAGCGCCTCTCGGAGCAGACTGTAATCAGGGGACCTCGCAGAAGCCTTTGTTAATCACGATAACGAAGATGCCGCACTCAAAGGAAACAGCCTGTGGAAGGGTGCCAGGCCGCCCAGCCTCCCGGCAGGAATAAAAGGGAAGCTCAGAAATGACAGGGCTTCGTCTCAATGTCTGTAATTTGTGAAATAATAGAAACAATCACAGGGTAAATTTGCCAAATGCATTTACAAATGAGTATCACTCCCTTTAATCAGGTGGCATAGAACCAGGCAGGCTGGATAGAAGATTGGGGTTTAAGAATATCTCTGTCCCTGTCTCTGTCTTTCTCTGTCTCTCTCTCCCTCTCTCTCCCCCCCCCCCCTTTTGATGGGGCTATGACAGGGTTTTTAATTGAACATGACGTTTTGTTTTAATGTCCAGTTATTTTTACCCAGTGGCTACTTTTAATGTGCCCAGAGGAGGAGAGGGCAACCAAAAGAAAAGCAGAGGAAAACGAAGCATTCTGTGCTCCACTGTCCGGCACAGGAGCCAGTAGCCACACGGGCGACTGAAAGGAAATAAAATGAATACCCTCGGCCACACTAACCCCCTCCCAAGGGCTCTGTCAGCGCCGGCTTGGGCTGCCCCGTGGGGCAGGGAGGACGGCGGACATTCCCATCGCCACGGAAACTTTTATGGAACAGAACTGCAAAAGCAAAACAAACAAACCCCTCTCTTCCCAAAGCCGGCTTTCCCCAAATGACGAGGCAACACGCCTCTATTCTTGGACTCTCGTTGCTCCTCAGCTCTTTTCAGGAATTCAGTTGCAACTGGT